CCTCTTTCGATCTTTTTTGTTTTCCTTTCCTCTCCTTTTTTTTCTTTTCTGTTCTTGCTCAGTTGTCTTTTTTCCTTTCACAATGAAAAATTCTCGGATTTTTCTTCTCTATCTTTTCTTTTAATTTTATTCTTTTCCTTATAGTTTTTTTCTGCTTTTTTCTTTTTCTCGTTTGTTTCTCTTTTCTCTCATGAATTGTTTTTTACATATTTTTTCGTTTACATTCATTTGACCAGTTTCAGTTTGACAGTACCTGATCATTGACCACCATTTCATAATTATGATATTTTTTTTCTTGGTAAAATGAGTTAGGAGTCAGATGGAGCATTTGCTTTTAATCTTTATTATTGATAAATTCAGTATAGATTTAATATCTCCCCTCCCCTTTTTCATGAACAGTGATTTCATTAAGGGAAGAGTTTGCATTTGCAATCTATTATTTGTGATTTGCTTTGAAAACCTCATTCCTGTAAAGGTTCTCCAGCTCCCACGCTTAGTAGGCGAGCAAGCTCTGTATCTTTTTGCATTGCATACAACTACCGCGTGAGGCCGTGAAAAATTCTCAGCACAGCGCCGGAAAAGTTTCGAAATGTCGCGCGTTGACTTGACCATGCCTCCGATTAACCACTCGTTCACGCGAACAATGTCGCTCTCATCAAAGTGCTTTTCCCACTCGTGCGCATTCGGGGAAACAAATGTGAAATGACCAGTTTCTTGTTGCAGCGTTTCACACTTGCACTTTTCCCGCCGATCACTGTGGGCAGCGAAAACTCCGAGACTTTTTCGTCTTTTGTTTTTGTAACCGGATCCACAACCAGGTACCCAGCAGCTATGCAGTATCCTACCCCATATTCAGGCAGAGCACACAAGCCACAATAGTAATCATAAGGTGAAAAACTACGCGATGGCACACCACGATATTATGCACTGACGCCATAGCGCACCAGTAGCCAGGTTTCCTCTGGTCTGCTTGATGCCTCGCAGTCTCCGCTCCCAGCGCACAAAGCTCTCCCATAGGGTTACGGCGATGCTTCACGACCAGTAAAAGTAAAAGTATTGAAGGACTCTGGTAATATCTCAGGTTTAGGTCCGAAAGCACAATATAATTATGAATGACGTTGCGGTGCTAATCTTCTCCAGCTCAATGCAGCTATAAAGGCAGCATTTGCACCATATGCCCTTTCTACTTTCTTTAGCCTATGAAATTTGGCAAAAAGTGTAAAAAATATATATGGCTCCCTTGCTACTGCTAATTATTGCATCTATGTTTAGATGTAACACAGTGAGCTTCTTTATACATTCAGTGAGAGTGGCTACTGCAAATTGAGGATAACCTACATCTACTAGATGCGTGACCACTGCGTCAAGGCTGACCTTCATTTGTGTACAGACTGTAAATTGTATGGCACCAAGCAGTGCATGTTAGTGACACCCCAATCAGCCTACAAATAATTAAAGGAACCATACTTTAAAATAGTGGTAATTACTATAGTTCCAGAGAATGCATTCTGATAAAGCCGACATTAATTAATGTTCTGACACCATTTTTATATGAATGACAGATTTAAAACTAAAAATAGCCTCACAAACAGTTCTTTTGCAATTTTTTTCTAGTTCTTGGATAATCATACTGCATTGTGCAATTTTCGATTTATGTCGCATTCCAAGCTGTTGGTTTTTTCGGAAACACTGGTGAGACGTGTTTCTGCCTCGGAAATGAATGTAGTAAACCAACAAAAAAAAGAAGTTATCAGTATTTTTTTAAGGGTTAAAGTAAATGACCTTAAGTAAGAACACCCAAGAAGCCAATTTGCAATGAAAGAAATGAAAAAACTAAGAAAAGTGTTCCAATCAGAACTCAAAATCGCATAAATAAAACAAAAACAAAATGACTAACATTATTTGTGTGCCATCGCTTTTTTAAAGAACTGTATAACCATACTTTTAATGAGAAAGAATAGACCTCTACCGGGGTACATCCCGGCGTGACGTCACTGATGCACGTGCAAGGCGGTGGTTGGCAAAACACTTGCGCCGGTGCCTCAGTGGGGTGCAGTTAGCTCGGTGCTTGAGGCAGGTTTTTTTTATTGCTTTTTGGAAGCTATATCTTCCTCTCACAGTGACAACATTAGCTGTGGTATGTGTCAGAGAACATCTAGGTGTGTGGTGAAGTAAGTGATAAAATATTCGCCACGCTGACTGGCTGTTCATCTTTAAGAAGTGGCCACGCGTGAGGGCCTGTGCGAGGAACAGCGGCATCATCTTCAAATGTGCAGTGTTGACTGTGGCATGTAGTGTGCGTTGAAAGGCATCGACAACATTGGTTCACCTTTACGGATGATGAAAGTGGGAATATTGTGCGTGGCGTGTGCAGTGTGGATAACGCGATGCCTCCTGTTCGCGAAAACACTGGTATTGGTTGTGGGCCCGTTGCAGTAACCGATAGTCAATGGAACTTTACAATCTGACATTTTAGTCAAAGTAAAAATACATTTGACACGATCATTTGCGAGTGGGTACATCTCGGCATATGCGCGACATGCAGAAAATAAAAGTACATGATCTATGGGTGATATATACGACTACGCATGCAGAATCAGCAACGCTACAACATGCACCAAGGCTATAATTCGTGTTATCGGATACTTGATATGTGTTAATAAAAAAAGCGGAGATTTTCGTTTCTCATCTACTTTGTACTTTTACAGCTCGATCCTTACAAAGTGACAATGCCCATAAGAAGTATTTGTATCAAGCCTCAAGAAGCAATACAGGTACGAAAACACGTTATAGGTGTCAAATGCAGCAAGGCAACTGTGCCAGACATTATTACATATTATTAAGTTGTTGGGTTTTACATCCCATATAAAATCAAACACATCACATTTTCACTGGGTTATTGAGAAACGCAGCGGAGGAGTTTCATCACTTGAAATTTCACGACGATATGTTAACCTCAGCCTAACGCACAGCAAGAAGTGTTTTTTTTTTTTCATTCATCTCCAATCAGGCTTTTGCGCAATGAGTGAGAATTTTATCAGTGACGTCACGCACAGCAGCTCAAAACCATGCTGCCGCCAATGCTGTACGTCGTTTAAAACTGCATTGCACAAGCCACGATGGAAATTGAATAAGTTTACATCCATGACATGCGAATGGTTTGAAAGTGCCAGACACAGTGTATTTTCAAAACGTTCGCTTTCGAAAAAGATCAGACTTTTTTATGACTGCCATCTGAATGGGCAAAGCCTACTGCGTGCTAGTCGCGTCTCTTGGTACTCTAAATAAAGTTTATCCATCCAACTACAACGAGCAGATTTCCTCACTATGAGCAGTGACCCTTTCGCGACCCCCTTTTTTCAAAAGCTGCCACTTTAGAACATACCAATGTAGAAATTTCTGTTGAAGGAATGCAGACATGCAGCTCTGCTATGCAGAGAGATGCCGCCGGCGGAGCTTTCTTCTCAACGAGCACCTGCTCCGAGAGAGGGTATGGTGGGCGGGGTGCCCACAGTGACGTCACACTGTTTACAAACAGGGAGAGGTCTATTGACAGGTCACACACCAATGAAATGCTGTGTTTCTGTTGTGTATTTGTAGCATGTTTTTTCAATATGGATTGGTTTAAAGCCAATCGAAACAATACAGATATGCCACTGTTAATTTCTAGGTTGTCAAACACATTAAATCTGCTTTACTTGGTATGTGTGAATCATTACATTAATAAAAATTGTAACCTGGCTGGAAAATTCGAGCCACATATCTTCATCCTCGTGGTGATTTCTGCACTAGACAAGTTTATACTATGGTACACGTTTACCTTGATGCAACAGACTGGTACCAGGCGAATGGCAATAGGAGTAATGTATTAGTTCTGTGTTGCACTTAGCCCTCATGACAAAAATCATACGCCTTTGAAGATCCATGCACAAAAGATCAACAGGCGCTGTATGCCTCAGGAAGCACTACTCTGCATGTCTATCTAACATAAATACATTTTTGCCAAAGGTATCTGTGCTGGCATAAGGTATGGCCGAATACTGCAAGTATTGAACAAGTATAAGACAATGTTCACAGCCATACATAACATTGAATCAAAGCAACAACGAAAACAAAGATTAGCTGCAAGCCTGAGCGGTTCATGATGAGAAGCGCTACGAAGGTATTTAGAGTGTGTAATCACACTTTTGTATAGCCCAAAACTGCTGTAGCATTCTAAAAAAAGAGCAGTGTGAAAGCACCATCTTACTTTCAATACGTAGGACCACTTCAATATGGTGCTTCAGGCAAGTTCAGACATGTTGAAATGAGAACAGCATAAAAAAATTCAATATTGCACTAAACATGACGAACCATGGCATCATTGGCTTAGAAAAAAGTTGGATTTCGAACTCCCTCAAAAATTAAGTGCTCTAGGTGTACATAAACATGCACACAAATGCTGCACAAACATGTGAAATAAGGCTGGAGCAGAACCTATTAAAAAATTTCTTGGCCCTGCATGGCCCTGCATACCATGCCCCTGCATGGTATGTAATATGTATATGTTATTCTGTGCTACCTTCGTTACGATGCTGTAGCAATAACGCAAATCTCTGCTGTATTAAGGTGCTTACATAAATAGCCAAAAGTGACAGCCAAATTGCCTGAATGCAATGTCATTACTCCACATGAAAATTGGCGTAATGCGTGTTACACATGGTCACATGACCAAAACACTCTTCTGATGTTTCGGTGCCTGATATAGGTTGCTTTTATGAATTAAACTAAACTTGAGCCAAATGACAAATTTTAGCACCTTCAGAACTAAATGTATTTGAAATCTGATAGTGATTTGTGGAACATATCCAAACGTTCAAGGAGATTCCTATGCTACATAAGCACTCCATGTTTCTTAAGCAGATGAAACCTCACCACATATGAGAAAACACACATAAATAGCAAATGCTTATTCAGTTGAAATAATGTCAGAAATGTTTACAATAAAGCCTGTGACTTACCTGCATTATTACATAACTCATGTTCACACCAGCATTGGCTGCATGTGGACATCACCAGGTTCACCAGGCAACGAGGAGGCTGCAACGATTTTTTGTTAAACCATTGCCAATAATTTGTTCTGGTTTCTCGCCAATGAAATCTGGTAAAAAACACTTTGAGAGAAAGTTGTGCAACAAGGCTGTTGCCAGACAACTCAAAGCTTAGGCCAAGCAGGCGTCGTCTAAGAAATGTAACACTGTATAAATGACACAAACAAATTCAGTTAACCAAGCTGACTATGGCAGTAATGCACTATGCACAGATTCATTTATGCTTTCGAAAATACCAGCAGGAAAAATAAAATATTTCACTAATAGTAAAAAAACATCACCATAAGCCACATGCTATAATGGGCCTTCGACAAGTACTTATATAAAAAAATGTGAATGTTATCTGAATCGAAGCTTCATGGTTTATGCACTTATTGTTGAATGCTCTGACATGGATTCCATTGATTGAATTTTTGTGGTCTACATGTTTTAGAGCCAACAAGCTCAGCATGCCAGTGTTGCACAGTGCATGTCAGTGAATTAACGCTACTTCTTCGGGCAGTTGGCACATTTATATAATCGGTCGACCAGCAGCATGGTACTGATGAGCAAACAAGAATTCGATGACACTTCACTCCTCATCTGTGACAAGCTGCATGTCAACCAAACAAGTCCCGCAAGTGCTATATTATCTATTTTAGAAGCAGCATGGCTTATTGCTTTGTTTAGCCACATACACAATAAGCGAATATATTTATCGCATACTTTATCCCCGTGAAAAGTAAAATTTAAGGGACCGTAATACGGCCTGAGCTATAGTTAGTGGGTACAATAATAGCGCCACTATGATACTTGCCGGGGTCAGAGAAAACAAATGGTTCTGCATAAATGTCTATAGTAAAACATAGTGATGAGCGCTTACTACAAGGTATACGGCTTGTCAAATTAGGAAGCAAGTATTGCCATCAGATAAAGAATGATGTTCAACTGAAGGTAAAATGAGATGCAAAATTCGTGAACACGGGGGGCCGGCGACACCCTGTGTTCAGGAATTTTGCAAGTAATACCTAGTCGCATGTAACTTCTGTGCCCGAACGCAGGTGCAGCACCAAAATAAATCGAAAATTCAGCTGATAATAATATTAACACACTATCTAGAGTTTTACGTTCCAAAGCCACGTTTTCTTTAAAGAGAGACGCCGTAGTAGAGGGATACGGAAATATCGATTTGGTGTTATGCACGATGCGCAAAGCACGGACCTGTGGCATTTTACTTTTACTGAAATGTGACCGCCCCAGCCGGAATCGAACCCGCGATCTTCCGGTGAGCAGCAGAGCACCAAAACCCCTGCTCCACCACAGCGGAGAGCAAATTCTGCCGTGAGTACGGCTTAAATTTGGTCTACATGCACGAAGGTCCAAATTCAGCACTTCATTGGTACTAAACACAGTCCAATGCCGAAAAAAATTGCATTTTTAGCAAATCTTCTTCGCTCGCTACAGCTGGAAAGAAAAAAATGTCCGAGTGATCTCCTGAAGCTTTCGCAGGTCAGGTTACACAATAACGCACAAAATGCACGCCCAAATAAAAAAAAAATAACGTAGAGCAGTTTGCGTGCGGGAGCTAACTGATAAACTATTGATCGCACTCTTTAAAAACGTCGCGCGCTAGCACAGTGTACGCAACTACAACAGCATGCAGTACCAACACGTTATGCGATCTCCTTAAGCGACAACTACAATTGCAATAAGAACAACTCGCAACGTATGAAGCGTGACCATCAAAATTACTACTGGCAAGAAAGCAGGCTGCCGGCTGACATCCAATGTTCAAGCGATGTGCCGAGTAAGGAACGGCCACCGATCCCCGTTCACCACATCGCGTGTCAAAGCATTTTGCTGGGCCACAGAGAGCGTCGTCGAGAAAGGATTGCGGCGCTGCTACTCACTGATGCGTGAGGCGCCTCGATGGCAGCGTGGCTTTGAAGAACGCTGTCATTGATGTGCGGCAATATTTCAAGGGAAAACATTTCACGCCCGTCAACAGTGACAATGAACAGAGGAGCCGCAGAGAACGGTGTTGAACGGTCAGTATTAGGCGACTATTTGGCACCGCTAATAATACTCAGCGAAAATTGTGTGCTTATGTCAGTAACTGCAACACACAGTACGCAACGCGATGCAGGGCAGTAAACGTCGACGACACGAAGAAAACTGCCCTACGAAATTACCATATAGCACGTGCCATATAGTATTCAACGCCGCCATGTACAAGAAAAAAAAAACGCAAATACAGGGCGATCGGGGCGTCACCAGCCTTTCAGTTTCAGTTTCGGTACCCATTTGTCATCTAAAAATTGGTATTTGTGTTGCTAGAAATAGCTTAAACACGCGTGATAACCCCGTCATACGCGAATGCACAATCTTATATGTCTGTCTGTAAAATTTATCTTACAATATTAATAATTAAGCAAACTCTTTGGAACAGTTTGTCAAATTGTTCAGGTGACGTTTGCCTTATTTGACTGGTGATCACAGGCGTGCCTAGGGTTCCCTTTGAATAATATGGGGTGGGGGTAAGGGGACGGTGAAGGTAGATTCATCACAGTGTCCCGCTTACTATTAAGTCAATAAAAAGTGAGGACTGCGCCGCTCTCGACTTCCTCTCTCCCGCGCACGGCGATGCTCGCGATATGATAACGCACATCATGCATTCACGAACGTTTTTTTTTTTTTTTGCACCTCCGCAGCCTTTACTGCGTTTCTTAATCCATCTCTCTTGTTGATTGAAGTGAAAGCCACCACTTCAGATGTTTAGCTGCTAAGCCATTGTTTTGGAACAAAATATAGTGACTATGTTATAAAGCATGTGGTTTATTACTTTATGCTTGTTACCACTCTACGCGTTGTGCTCTATCGTACAACGTTTACATTGTATTTACATTACGTGTAAACGCACGATACAAAATTCAAATGACCATGATTGCTTTTTCGAGTGTTGTATACGGTGTACAAATGACACGAAAACGTGTTCATCTCGGCGTCCACGTCACCCACGTAGCAAATGTACTGTTCAAAGACACATATGGAGTTTTCAGGCGCGTTCCTTAGTTCATGCGAGATCACCGTTCGTGCAACGCGACCAGAAAGTCGTGACATAGCCATAGGCTGCAGCAATTCAGCAGAGGTGTGTCCGCAGTGAAGCACGGGTAAATAGCATAAGTCTGGTGCCTCGCCACTTCGCTAATGTTGCCACGCGCACGACGCGCCCCTTGACATAATTACCTTTACATAATTTTAGGACATGAATATAATTCCTTTATGAAGTTGGGACGATCCGAGATCGCCCTATTGGAATACTAAAAATACCAGCACAAATAACGTGAATACGTTGCGCGAAGTTTCGGACTGAAATTGTTACGTCGCGAGTGAACGGCTCAGTAACCAAGCAAGAACAAGGAAGGTTTATTTTGCGTGTCTCGCTTTTATGTGCTCGGCGATGGCGATGACGTCATGACATGATTGGCGACACGCTTGCATGACGTAACACATCTCTTCCTTTTACCAGTTGAACCTTCGAGGTAGTCGCCGTAGCCTGTTGGACCGGCGAAGCGGCGGCGGTGCCTCAGGTTGGCTAGAGGGCGGCGACCCCGCCGGCGTGGGGTCCGCCATGCCGGCTGGCATCGGCGAGGTTTCGTTAGCGGTGGTGGTGGATGTTGTAGCGCCCCCTGGCTGTGTCGTGTTCGAGTCCTTCGGAGTGCGCAGCCGCAGTTGGTTCGCATGACGACGTTGCTCGCCGTCCGGCGTAGACAGTCGCCATCCGAGCCCCTTGGGTACTGGTGACCACTCCCGGCAACCATTTTGGCCGGCTGTGGAAACTTCTCAGCCACACCGGCTGTCCTGCACAGAATGGCATGGTGGAGCAGCGCTCAAGACGTGGTTCCCCGCCTGCACTCGGGAGGCAACAGTCTAGCCTGGTCCGTAGCCGATAACCCAGCAGTAGCTCGAACGGAGACTTCCCAGCCTTTACTGGTGTCCGTCGGTATCGGCATAAAAACTGAGACGTTTAATGAATGTGCCACCCCCTTGGCTTTTTCGAAGGCCTTCCTTGATCGTGCGAACCGCGCGTTCCGCCAGGCCATTTGACTGCGGGTGGTAAGGCGCCGTCGTCACGTGGTTGATCCCGTTCATTCTTACGAACTTCTGAAACTCGGCTGAGACGAACTGTGGCCCATTATCTGAAACAAGTGTATGTGGCAGTCCGAACCTGGCAAATATGGGCCTCAACGCTTCCACGGTGGCTTCTGATGTCGTACTCCGCCTCGATATGGCCACCAGCCACTTTGTTTTAGCATCTACGACCACTAGTAGCATGTGTCCTTCGACGGGGCCTGCGTAGTCGATGTGCACTCGAGACCATTTCTGGCCCGTTTCTGGCCATGGCGCCGGAACCTGCGCAGGAGGCATTGCACTGGTTTGAGCACACCTCTCACATTCGCGTACCATCCTTTCGATGTCAGCATCCAGCCCTGGATACCAAAAAATGGTTCGAGCAAGGTTTTTTCATTGCCGCCATCCCTGGATGTGTTTCATGTAGGAGCCTCAAAAGACTCCCAGCAGCCGCTGATGGCACTATTCTATGTCCCCAATAAATGAGGTCCTGATTCACCGTCAGCTCATCCTTTTTCTGGAAGAACGGCCGGAATCGCTCCTCGGACTCTGTCAGGTACTGCGACCAGCCCTGCAGGATCCACTTTCGCACCTGCTGTAACATAGCATCACGGATGGTTAGAACCGCCAACTCTTTGGCACTGATGGGTGCCGCGTTCACAGCTTCAGCGTATAATACATACTCGGGAGCGTCGTCTTTTACATTATCGGGCTGCCCCCGAGGAACAGGGAGTCGGCTGAAGGCATCTGCGTTTACGTTTTCAGATCCTTTACGATAGGTTAGGCTGTACCGATATCCACCCAACAGCAGGGCCCAACGCTGAATGCGGGCAGCGGCCATCGGCGGAATTCCCTTGTCTGGACTGAACAGTCCGGTTAACGGTTTGTGGTCGGTTACTAGTTCGAAGTGGGTCCCATACAGATAGTCTCTGAACCTGGTCACGCCAAATACGAGGGCGAGGGCCTCCTTTTCCAACTGGGAATAATTTTTCTCGGCTTTTGTTAATGTTCGTGACCTGAATCTGATAGGGTAGTCAATTCCTCCGACTCGATGCGACAACACTGCTCCCAGGCCTACTGCTGACGCGTCGCACTCTAGGCGAATGGGCTTGCTTGGGTCAAAATGCACCAAAAGTTTTGCATTCTTCACTGCTTGTTTGGCTGCCTCGAAAACATTCTGCTGTTGTCTGCCCCAGACCCATTTTACGCCCTTTGCCAACAATGCGTATAAGGGCGTTAGTAAGGTCGACACATTGGACAAAAACTTGCCGTAGTAATTTAACAGCTAGACCTAAAAAAGCTTTCAGTTCTCTTACCGAAGTGGGCTGGGGGGCGTCGAGCAGTGCCGTGATGTTGTCGCTTTTGGGGCGTAGGCCGTGTCTGTCGATGCAGTGTCCGAGAAAGGCGACTTGCTCTTGCCTGAACTTGCATTTCTCCCGTCGTAGGTGCAGGCCGTGTTCCCTCAGGCGCTGTAGCACTTGCTCCAGGATCCTGCAGTCGTTTGCCTTTTCCGATACAATTATGTCTTCCAGATATACCTGCACGCCGGGGATCCCTCTGAGCACGGCCTCCATGCGCCGCTGGAAGATTGCTGGCACTGACGACACTCTGAACGGCAGCCTGTTGAAACAGTAGAGACCCTTGTGCGTGTTAAAAACGACTAGCCTCTTCCAGTCCTCGTCAAGGGGCAGCTGATTATAGGCGTTCCTCAAGTCCAATGTGCTGAAAACTTCTCCGCCGTTGAGGTTCGCAAAGATATCGCCAACCCGTGGCAGCGGATATTGCTCCATTATGGTAGCTGCGTTCACCGTAAGCCGGAAGTCGCCGCATAATCGCACCTGTCCATCTTTCTTAACTACGGGCACCACGGGTGTGGCCCATTCAGCCGATGTTACCGGTAATAACACCCCTTCGTTTACCAGCCGATCTAACTCTGCTGATACCATTTGTTTGAGCGCATACGGCAGCGTCCGCGCCTTACAAAACCGGGGTCTTGCGCCTTCTTTGACGGTCAGGTGTACCGGTGGCCCTCGGAGCAAACCCAACCCCGGAGCAAAGACATCACTGTACTTTGATAGCATGGTTTCCCCCATTCTGTCCGCATTTTCCGCCTGCACACACGCCACCTCGTTTCCAGTGAGTACCGGCACGCCTGCCGTATTGAAGCTGCGGATATAGTGTCACGGCCGCAAAGCATCGGTCCCGGTCAGTCGATGACGAAAAGTTCGGCCTGAATGGTCGCGCCACTCATGGTCGCATTGAGTTGCAATTTTCCGTTGATAGGAAGTGGGCCCTTGAAACACGACAGCTTCATTGTTGTGGCTTGCAAACGTGGCCATTTGCCTCGGTGTCGCTCGAACACTGACCGCGGAATAACACTCACAGGTGAACCCGTGTCTACCAACATCGTGAGCGGCACTCCGTTCCAACTTATCTGGCGCAAAATAGGCTTTACGTGCGCGCGGTCCGTCACTTGATGCGAAGTCAGCGTGTATAAAGCTTCGCAGTCATCCGAACTCTCTTGTGGGTCTTGCGAAAGGGCGTTCGCTTGCTGCCTCCGATTAGTGTCTTCGTCCGACGCTTTACACACTCGTGCCAAGTGGCCGCGTTTCCTGCATCGATGGCACACTGTTCGGAGATGACGACAATCATCCGGTTGGCGCGAGGATGCACCACAGCGGGTGCAAGGCCGATGCTCATCGCGAGATAGCCCACTTGCTTTCTTCGACTTCGAACGTGAGAGGCCCGGCCGGACAAAATTCGTTGTGTCGGCTACTGGGGAGGGCAGTGGCTGCATGTGCTGCGCGTTTTCCGCGGCGGCCTCAGCAGCCATTACGAATTAAGTCTTCTGCTTCCTTCAAAGTCAGGGAACCGCGGGTCAACAACAGACGTCTTACGTCGTCGTCTCGAACACCACATACAATGCGGTCCCGCAGCATGCGGTGCAACATGTCGCCGAAATTGCAGTCTTCGGCCATGCGGCGAAGGGTGGCTACAAAATCCCGCCCTCGCTCACCCTCTGCCTGTGTGCGCGTGAAGAATCGGTAGCTGGCTGCTGTTTCGTTGACCTGCGGCTCGTAGTGGCTCTGCAGATGCTTGATGACATCGC